GGGGGGGGTGGGTGCGTGAAAACATTTCTGTCCCCAAGGGAATGTGACAGAGAACCACTGCTGTAAGGCAAGAACAACAACCACTCTTCCACTGTTTGGCCTTCTGACCTTTTTTGTACCTGAATTAAACTTTAGTGATAAAAAAAAAAAAAATTCCAATGATTAATTTACATAATCTACAGCCAATATTTCATGAAGTCCAAACGGGTCGTTGTTACGTAGCCAATGAAACATACATAATCTAAAGCCAATATTTCATGAAGTCCAAATGGGTCGTTGTTACGTAGCCAATGAAACATTCTCATGAATCACATGATCTCCTGGTGAAGAACTAACAGCAGAGCAGGTGGAGGTTAGAGGCTGAAGGGCAGGAGGTGACGTCCTCATCTGTCACTGCACCTACACTGCCATAAGCTGACCTTTGACCTTCAACGGGAGGAGCCAAAGATAAAAGATGAATTTGGATAGTTAATGTCTCCCTGTCCCACGTCCCTCTGAACATGTGGTCTTCTGTCTTCCCAGGTGTCTGCCTACTGTAAAGTTTCAGTGATGGAGTCCACTCATCTGCTGGGCAGCTCCAAGAAAAGGGTGAAGATCCACCCTCACACTGTCACAGCCAAATACGCCACACACACACCCTACTCCCCTCAGCCTGGAGTCCACACACACTTCCCTCAACCTGGGGACGAGGGCTACGATGACGCTCCGTCCTTCGAGGACTTCGGCTCTTTCCTGGAGGAGACGTCCGACAAGAAACGGCTGACGGACGGCAGGAAGTGGCCCCTGACTCTGTTTGGTTCCAGAGACAAAGACCAGGACAAAGCACAGAAACCCCAGGCCGGTGGTGCAGCGGCGGAGGCGGGTGAAGCTAAAGCAGCCAAAGGTCCTGGTAAAGGTGTGGGCGAGCAGTTGGCCAGTTTTGGGGAGGCGTCTGTGTCTGCCTCCCGCCTCACCTGGGTGGGTCTGCTGGGTGCCGCTCTGGCTCACGGCTGTTTGATCGTTCTGACCCGACTGGCCTCCGATCGCTTCAGCCTGGGCCCCCTGTTTCTCCTGCTGGTTCGATCCATCGTCCAGCTCCTGTCTGTGGCCGTGCCGCTGCACAGAGGTGAGAACCCTTTTGGACCGGACGGCTACCGTCTGCGTCTGCTCTGTTACGGCATCGCCTACTCCCTGTCCCTCTGCTGCGCCTACTCGTCTCTAACCTTCGTCTCCCCTGGAGACGCTACCACAACCTGGCGCCTAGCAACCACCGCGCTGTCAGCGACTCTGGCCTTCCTGCTCCTGGAGGAGAGGCTGGGATTGGCTGATGGTATCACCTTAGCTGCGGGCCTGTGCGGTTTGGGGCTGGTGCTGCTTCCTAACGAGGACGAGAGCAACTCGGATTCACCAACCGACCCGGTTGCTTTCTGGAGAGGGGCTTTCGGCTGGTCTCTGTCAGCTGTCGCCGGCCTGTGGATGGCGCTGGCGCTGGTCGGGTATCGCTCTCTAAAGGAGAGGGTGGGAGTCGGAACAGCTTTGTTCACAATCAGCTGGACGGGCTGTCTGCTCACTCCGGGCGCTCTGGCTCTCCTCCAGGAGGGATGGTCCTGGCCCATGAGCGCCCCAGCTTGGGCTCTGGTGCTGGGCCTCGTCGCCTGCTCGGTCGCAGCCTTTTTGGGGATGACTCACGCCCTGACACGGCTCCACCCAGCTCTGGTGTCTGCCTCCCAGAGCTTGGAGATACCTGTTGCCATGGTACTGCATCTGGCGGTGCTGCCTTCCCTTCCCACCGCACCTGAGGTGGTGGGGAACGTGATGGTTCTACTAAGTGTGGTTTGGCTGGTGGCCATGAAGCTGCTCCCCTCTAGAGGCGGTGGGCGGCGCCAGAGGGAAGAATACGAAGAGATTCTGGACTCGCCCATTAAATAAACACTTCCAGTTGCCGCCCCTTGTGTCTCCAGTTTTTTGTTCTCGTTGCTCACTCCCTCCGTCATGAGATCGGTTCTACTTTCCACAGGAGAGACTGCTAAACCATGTTTGGAGCTTTATCTATTTTGTATCGTCGCCTAAGCTTTGGGGAAAAAGTGCCAATGTTGTGTCGTCTGTTCTGGTGACGTTGTGACGTGACATTAAAGTCTCTCTGATGAACACTGTGCATTCCACTTATAATCAACCATCCCACCATCCAAAGTGTGTGTGTGTGTGTGTGTGTTGTACACACATTTCACAAGATGTAATAACACTGACTGTTAGCAGCCAGCTGAGGTTTGGCCAATGATTTGGCTGCTGTTAAGATCTTTTGTTGCTTTAATTTTATTGATATGTTGGACTGTTGGGCTCAGGTATTGTGTCAGCATTTATACTTTTGGAAAACAAGCTAAGACATAAGGGCTAAGAAATACTAGCTTAGATTTAGCTTTAATTTATCCGAATATATTCACTACCAACATGTAAAACTTCCAAAAAAAAGTTTAGGTCCAAACAAAAAGATTTACTTACACAGGAAATGATAATTCCATGCTCAAAATTGCTAAGAAAAAAACCCAAATTGCTAAAAGCTATAGGCTTGCTAACACTGGCAGAACGTTAGCTTTAAAAACAAATAATGACCAGAAATAGTTTGAAATGACAAAGTGGGTTCTTCCTTCAGAAATGGCCGTTTCTTTACCAGATTTATAGCTAACAGCTAAAGTGCCGGGTTTATTGAGCCAATAGATCTGGAGGGTCTTGAATCAGAGGAATAAGAGACAAAAAGACAGACAGAAGTGAAGCTGTGGCAGTAAACAGAACTGATGCTTCTGCTTTTCACTGCCTCGGAGGCTGGCTGTTCTAAATGTGGAGATTAGTCATTGTGTCTAATAACTACCTGTGTGACACCACAACACCGGCTCTGTCCTTCCCACGTCCACCCTCCTCTGCCTCCACCCGTAGTCTCCTGCTTCCCTTCTTTACTCTCCCTCTCTCTCACACACACACACACAAACACACAGATAGAGATTCATAATGGATAAACAAGTGTAGTAACACTGGGAAAAAAAAAAACATGGGCTGCGCCCCCTACGCCCCACATAGTGCACTACACCCAGAGGACATGCCGTTTCATGGGCTGAGTCCAAAATCGCCCCCTACGCCCCACATAATGCACTACACCCAGAGGACATGCCGTTTTGTAGTGTTGTCTGAATGTTTAGCGAGTAGAACTATATCCCACAATGCACCACGAAATCCAGTGGACAACCCATGTACACTACTCAAGCAATATATCCCATCATGCATTGCAGTCATGACGAAATGGCGGAGAGAGGAGCAGCGGACGTCGGTTTGTTTTACTTGTGCGACAGCAATGATGTCATTAACTGAAGCAGTGGCCGAAACGATTTTTCATTGAACCGGAGATTACACTGAGTCGGAAACAACGTTGGGTTCGGGTTGGAGGTGGAGCAGGTGGAGCAAGAAGAAGAGGTTGTGGGTTGTTAGATTTGACATTTGAAGAAAAAGGTCGAGAAAAAACATCCTTAGATCCTGACAGCAAATGTTATGTAACACACACACACACACACACGTTGGGTTCATCATTAAACCTGACGTCCCCTAATTCCACTCACACCTGTTAACAGTTACTGCTCTTTCTCTGCACAACTACAACAGCAACAACAAGGTTGGAGGTTTGATTCCAGCCAGGAACAGAAGTGACCCTGCAAAAATAACACTTGTTTTTTTACATTTTCTAGTATGATACAAAAAACATGTACCGTAGCTCCTCTGCAGGGGGTGCTATAAATGCAGTTTGAATATCCTGGTCCATGATTTTACAACGCAACAACGTTATGGTTTGTTAAACACGTCTCATTTCCTAACTCAGCAAATAGAATTTTCCCTTGATGCCCTACACCTTCAGAGGAAAACCTGCAATGAGCTTTCTCGTAACAACAGCCAATTAAACCAGAACACACACACACACATATATATAGCATTTATTTATTAATTATTTAAAATGTCAGCTTCTGATTTTAAATTGTACAAAGAAAATGTTTATTTACACGTCTTTATTGAGCTGAGAAAAAAAATCACACTTAAAAAAACATTCCAAACAGCCTTCACATTTTTTGTCTTCTGCACCCCCTAGTGGCAGCTCTGTACCCCCAGGGGTGCACACACCGACACTTTGGGAATCCCTGCTCTAACTCCAAACTATAACAAATACATGCCTAAACTTAGTTCATAACCGACCTCAAATCTGAATCCAAATTCAAAATTTTGAGGGAAAAAAAGAAAAACTCGGACAACTTTTTTTTTTACCTGTGGCCTCAAGTGTAGGACACGTCACAGTGGGAGACACTACTCTGTCCTCCTGTCCGCTCAGCTCACAGACACAGCTGAAATTCAAATGATTACTGATCTCATTGGTTCATAACCATGAATGTGTGTGTGTGTGTGTGTGAGATACGACCACGCCCGACAGGGTTAAATAAATCATTAACACCTGCAGCATCATTAACTGCAGCCTCTGAGCATCCAGACTGTGTAAGTGGCTAATGAGCGACGCTAACGAGGAGTCAGACCTGTCCAGCTCTGAACACACACCAAAACCTCTCATCATTAAAGGTATTTGCAGACACCACCGCGCACACACTCGGATACAGCTGAATAAATTAGACAAAACACCTGGATTTAAACAGCTTTAAATGTCTGCACATGTACAGCAGGAAACAGGAAGTGAATAAGTAGCTGAGGCCGAGGGCAGAATGATCCTGAAACACACAGAAATGTCAGGACGAGAGCTCTTCGCGCTCATGAACAATTTGTATATGACATTTGCAAAACGTTTTGCAAATGTCATATACAAAAATGAGAATTTCTCCTGTGGCATGTACAAAGCAAAAGCTAAGATTAGAGCAACACAAACAAAACAAAAATATGAAAATTAATTAAAAAAAGACAAATTACTAAGGCCCAACTGAACAATGTTAGCATGCAACAAATGTTAGCCTTTTCTATAATTAAACGAAAGGTGAAAGATAGGCAGAAAGAAAATGAAATTGCAGCTCAATAATTAGCCAAATGTTAACTAAGCAAGAGGCAACCTGTCACATTATTATCATACGTGTCAATATACTGCTGACCAAAAAAAAACAAAACAAAAAATAGAATTTTAAAAACACACACAATGCAAAACAAGAAAAATAACCAATTGCTAACTTAGCTTCATTGCTAAGTTATTTTTTAAACAAATAAAAGTTAGTAAGATATCTGGCCAAAATCATCATTAGCCAGGAAACACAGAAGAAATTAATGTAGAAATCTGTTAAAAAGACAGCAAAAGATGAGACTAAAAGTAGCAAACAGTTACCAAAACACAGTATTTACCAAAAGATGTTAGCTAAAAATGTTAGCTAAATTTACTTAAACAATTCCAAAGATACTTTTACCAGTGTTTAGCTAACAAATATTTCAAAGTTCATAATAAAACAACCCAAAGATTCTGACGAGAAGTTTAAAAAGCCAGATTAAGATTTTCTCACTGATGGTCAATACGTTTTCACACGTAGGAGAGCGAGTTGAGAGGAAAACTTACCACCAATCAGCTTCAACTGGTTAATTCTTTTTTATTATTATTTATTTTAATGAACTTTTAATTCGTGCATTTCATTTAGTTTTATAAGATCACATTTTTATACTAAAGCCTCTGAAAAGAATTATAAATTGATTATGTGCAAAGTGGGTATGGCTGGAGTTTTCCCAGAGTCCTCTGCTCGTACATCATCTTCTTCATCTTCTTCTTCTTCTCCTTCTTCTTCTCCTTCTTCTCCGTCTCCTCTGTGATGAAGGAGTCTCTGCTCAGCTGCAGCTGAACTCTCTGAAGCTCTGTAGCGATGGCAGCCATGCTTCGTTCCATGTCCAGCTGTGACATCACTTCCTGTCCAGGTGCGGACGACTTCAGCCCCCCCGCGGTGAAGACCGCTCGCGACACTCGTGACGGTCCAGGACTGGGCGTGGGTTCTTGTCCCGGCCTGGTGTCTGCAGCACTTGCAGCCACCTCCAGCCTCTTCAGCCTGGTGCTCTCCTCACGGCTGCTCTGCAGCAGCCTCTGCAGGGTGGCGTTCAACCTCCTCTCCCTCTCCACCTCCGCCTTCCTCAGCTCCCCCAGACCTCGCTGCAGGCCGGCACTCACCTGCTCCCCCTGTGCCCTGCACACGGACTCCATGCTGGGGATGCACTGCTTGCAGTTCCCCTTGGACAGCTTGTCCACCTGGGTCTTGATGGAGCCCACTCCTCCAGCGCACGTCTCCAGAGAGTCCAGCAGCATGTTCTGCCTCATTTGAGAGTCCTCCAGAGCGATGAAGAGCTTGTCCCAGCGGGTGAGGTCTGCATTCTCACATGGTGGAGTCTGAGACTCCTCTGTGGAAGACAAACACAGAGGATCCATCAGGAGATAATATATTAAACTGAAGAAATATTAAAAAAACAAAACTTTAACGTAACCTTCAAATCATGAATGAAATAAAATAAAAAAAATTAAAAACTAAGAACCTTAAGTCACAGCCTCACGTTTTCACAACATTTCCAAGATTGCAAAACTTCCTGTTTTGACTCTGCTTCGTTCTCAGACATCAGCGTGTTTTCTAAAATATCCACAATTCAAGTCACACTGTTTTTTTTTTGTGAGTCGACATATATGCTGACATGTTCCATTCATTTTGAATGTGAGTAAAATATATTTTCACTACATATTACGCATTTACTTGAAGTATTATGATTATTTTTTCTTAAATTTAAGCTTCATAATTTAAGCGAATATATATGTTTCAACACACTTTTACGTTTACGATGCCAAAGAATTTCTTGCGGAGAATCAATTAAGTAACATTTTTTGGTATTTTCACACATGATACCTTTGATGAAAGAAGTAATTTTGGAGTTACAGTTTTTTGATGATAATTCTAACAAGGATTGTTGTCTTGTGGGACACTTCAATCTTCAAATATCGATATATTTTTTAGTAATTCTGATCAAGAAATATTCACTCTCAAACTACTTCAGTACAAAACAGGTATCCAAGTCTGGGAAAATCCACAAATTCAAACATTTGAATCAATGTTTGGAATAAAAAAAAGAAAAAATTCTACCAAAAAAAGTACCACAGGGCTTCGTTCTTGGGATACCTTTTTTATTTATTAAATGGTAAATGCTATATTTTTAGAACAAAAATGGTGTGAGTGCAAAACTCGACACAACTAAAACTATTTACCTTAAGTATAAAATGTCAGATAATGTGAAAGTTTTGGAACTAATTTACGTTGAATGGTGCATTGACTTTGGTCAGATCAGTCGTGGAATTTGTGGCTCTGGTCTCAACAATGAACCATCTGTTCAAACAAACAGGAGACAAAAAGGACAGATAACTAAAACTCACCCTTTGGCTGGAACGGAGGAATTTCGTTTTCATAGTATTCCCCGTAGTTGTCCTCGTACTCAAGCCCGTTCAAACAGAAGGATGTGACCACAAAGCCCAGCAAACACAGCACATGCCAGGAAGTGGACACGTGCATGATGAAGCTCTGAGTGAACTCCTGCAGAGAGAATATCAGGACGCCAGCTGCTGAAATCCACGCTGATTCACTCAGTCCACCTGAAGATTCTCACTCTGAGCCAAGTGTGTCGTGGCTGCTGACTTTTAAAGCCTGCAAAGCAGAAAAGAAGGAGGGATGAAGTTTGGGAGGGTGGGGCAGATGTGGGGGTGCTGTTTCAAGGGTGGGTGACTAATGCTCTGGTGGAGGTAAATATGTGTCGTAAGTCAGAGCCACTAGGAAATTCTGTGAAACGAAAGAAACAGACAAATATTTGAATGTACGACTGCACACAGTCCATAAAAAGAAGAATTTCTACCTCAAATATTCACCAAATAAAGTCTTGTTTGACTCTTTCGTTAATTTCGGTGGTAAAACAGATTCTCTGATGACGATTCTTATGGCAACCTTTTTTTTTTTACCCGGAAATACCATTGATTTTTACTAATTTTTACAAATATATTTTTAAGGACCAGAGATTGTAGAGATTGACGAGGAGTTACAATTTGTCTTTTGAGTCAAAATATCAGCATAAAACATCACATCAACATCAAGTGTTGAGAAAATATATTTATATTATATTTATTTATATTAATATATAACATATATTTGAACAAAATTAGGTAACAAAAACAAAGTGAAACCATAAACTATATCTAAATACAATACTCTGAAAAAAATTGCGTTCCTTGTATTTTCAAAATGACATCATCGCACTGACCTTCATCCTTCATTTTCAATGTCAACCACGTCAGTGTTTTCACCTTGTCGTCACAGGAGACATCAATCTACACATGTGGTCTGTTTAACTGATGAGTCACCGTCGCTCCCCGTTCTGTGGAGCCAGAGATTCCCCTCAACCTGAACGACAAAAATAAAACATGGCCGCACTGCTGAGTCAGGCTTCTATTTTTGGACTGCAATTACGATGTTTTTATGACTTAGTTCGGTCGCCATGGCAACAAAGATTTTCTTTATGGCTGTGATTTATTTTTGCTTTTGCCGTAGTTCCTTTGTTGATCAAAGAATCCAGTGAAGATGTTTCAGGAGCGTTTCAGGACTCTTTATGGCCCACCAAGGACAGGAGGACAGGTGTTGGGGTTAAACTACAAAACTAGGACATGTCAATGTCAGAGGAAAAGCCCTGACCTTTACCGTTCACACGGAGCAGGTGGCTCCACGTCTGCCGGTGGCCACGCCTGGTGGTCTCCGTGTGGCAGGTTGTAACGGCAGCGGTGGGACTCAGGAGGGCAGGAGCTGACATCTTTATCACAGGAAAAGAGGGGAACTGCACAGGAAGAAGTGATGGAAACAAAAATATGGGCAGCTGACACTGAAGGGCACACGAGGAAAATGTTATAGGTGGGTATTTTTAACTGCCATGAAAATCAACACTTACCTCAGCAGGGTTGTAGGACCAGAGTCTAGGACGGACCTGCCCAAACTACGGCCTGTGGGCCAGATACAGCCCACCTGGGCATTTTAATCTGGCCCACCAAACACTGGTACAAAGCATGTTGGAGACCGATGTCGATCCATCTTACGTTTAGGTTGATTCTTGAATAAACCGATGTCGCTCCATCTGTTTCACGCATTACAACAAATTGACTGTAATTCCCGTTAATGCCACTAAATGGCAGCAAACATTAAACGTGCTAAATGATCGATCTTACGTTTAGGTTGATTCTTGAATATTTTATTTCGATTTTTTCATCCAGGCCAGGATCTACATCCAACCAACACTGAACCGGCCTCCCGGTCAAATTCTGAACCTCATTTTTGCCCGTGAGCCAAAATGTTTCCCCACCCCCTGGTCCATGACCTGATCCTGACTTGAACTGGAGCACCCAAAATTTACACTACAAGTCCAAACATGGGGAAGTTGCTTTGGACTCAAAGAGAACTTAGTAGGGATATCCGATAATATCGGCCAACTGATATTATCGGCCCGATATTAGCATAATTATGTCATATCGGCAAGAATCGTTATCGATTTTCCTCCGATAATGACAACCAGATAACACAATGCCCAAGTTTCGCCACGTGATGTGTGGCCTAAAAATTGTTTTGGGGATAGATGGCTGTATATGAAAGCCACTAGATGGCAGCATTGCAGCTCATTTTATTACTCCATCGTAATAATCAGGGGATTGTATACAGAATGCTGGTGTCACCACTGCACCGCTATATCAGTATCGGTTGATATCGGAATGAGAAATTAAGTGTTTAGAAAATACCGGCATATCGGATATTGGCAACAAGTTAATATCGGACATCTCTAGAATTTAGCAAAACTTCGACAGACAGAAAATCAACTTAAACTCTGACTTGGGTTTCATCTAGAACTCTGATTCAATAACATGGAAACTAGACTCTGACGCTTCAGTGACCACAGTGTGATTAGTCAACTTAGACTCTAGTTAAACTTAAGTCACTCCGTTGTCTGAGTGAAAGGGTTAAAACCCGATCACAGGACATGTCGTTTCTCACAGTCTCTTATCAGTTTTTCATTTCTTTTACTCAATATTAAAACTTGTGTGTGTGAGTCAGGGCTAAATTTCCTGTCCTTCTGTGTCTCTGGCTTCTTTCCCAGGAGTGAATGTACGTTCGATACCATCACGATCCCGACACCGTCATTCATCAACCGCCTCCAGGCGCCGTTTACCCCCCCACCTGCACAACCAAAATGTCCCCTTTTTAACTGTTACAGTCGCAGCTGAAAACAACTAGAGGGAGGACCGAAAGGAAGAACACAATAAATAAGAGTAATAAAGATTTGAGGGTCAACTCCAAGATAAGGTAAGATTTAGGAAGGGAGTCAGTGAGGTATGTGTTATATAAGCCACGGGACATATTCTGATGCTGGGTTATCCTTAAATAAATCCAGAAGTGAGAGGGGGAAAATGTCAGCAGAAAGAGCTGATTATCATTATTAATGCTGAGTCGTACCTTTTTACCTACTATTGAAAAACCCTGAAGATAAAACCACAGAGAAATGACGGCAGGATGAGCAAAGAAAGAAGTCACCTACAGGAAGTGGACATAAAATGATGTTGAAATTAACGTTCCAGCTTAAGTCATACAGAAATATAGCTGAGTAAAGCAACATTATGAAATATTGTCTCTGTAACTTACGGCTAAGGGACAGGAAGTGGTCCTGTCCTTATATAGTTAACTTATATAGTTTCAAAAGCCTCCATGTTCTGCCTCTAATACGTCCTGGTTCTGTATCGTTATTTTCCTCTGACGGGGGTAAATCTATTTTATTTCTTTGCAGATGATGCCGTTTATTTTATGCAGAGATTTTTTTTTTTTTAGATGTAGCGTTCATACAGTAAGGTCTGAATATAAATATTTAATATGGTTCAATTTTTATGTTTTCCTGCCTAACGCCTTTCAAAATAGCATCAGTGCTAGAATTTGATTTGGAATTGGTAGGTGTGTGAGCGGGCACGGGGGGTCAGGTTCTCAGGGTTTATTCCACATAGTTAGGTTGATTCATGCTAAATTGACCATAGGTGTGAGTGTGAGTGTGAGTGTGAGTGTGAGTGTGAGTGTGAGTGTGAGTGTGAGTGTGAGTGTGAGTGTGAGTGTGAGTGTGAGTGTGAGTGTGAGTGTGAGTGTGAGTGTGAGTGTGAGTGTGAGTGTGAGTGTGAGTGTGAGTGTGAGTGTGAGTGTGCACAGTTGTGGTAGACAATAAATGAATTTCAGGCAAAAGACAAGCAATGGAATCACTGTCAGTCTTACTTCTGGAACTGCATGTAACACCTCAAGGTTCTGTACTCGGCCTACTTTTGCGTTCCATTATGTTAAAGACAAAAATGTAAATTTGATGAGAGAGATTTGATGTGAAAAATCAAACCCTTAATTTAAGATTTGAAGAGCCGTGATATTCCAAAAACCAACTCTGACCACATTCTGATGAATACTTCTGAACTTCAAAATATGGATTACAGAGATCAATATGGGCTTTAAAGAGGGAAGTTGAGACTGACAACACACACTCAGCTATACTCAGGCTGAACCTCATCACAGTGACACACACACACACACACACACTGGCGTTTAGCCAATAGAAAACACTGCTGTAGCTCAGATCAGTCTGGAGCCACTTCAACTGCTGCAGACTGTTCATAAAGTCATTATAAAACCAATCTGGGCCACGTCCCAACATTTCCCAGCAAATGTATTTTAGGATTTATCTTTTCAGTAGAATCAGATTACACCATTTGGAAACAGCAATGTGGAAATTAGAAAGTCAGTTTGTCTATAAGCCTCCGTGTTTCGTAACCTTTCTGGTAACTGTTTATTTTCAAGTGATGTTTTAATTGAACATTTAAACAAAAAGAATATCATTCTAAGCATCTCCATAAATCACTGCTCTCCACTGGGCTGAGAAACACCCTCCGCAGCATCACTTTCCTTCCTTTCTTTTCGTGGAGATCAGGGAGAGCGCTGCTGCGTCTGCTGACAGACACCAGAAATGATAAAAGTAAGTAGGAAGTGCAACATGGCCTTGTGTTATCAACACCGGGCAGAAAAACAACCACGAGCAGCGAGGGACAGACGGCGGGGAGGCTATTCTAGTTTGGCTGTGTCATAGGGAAGGAAGAAAAACATGACTTAATCAGTCTTTAAATGCTGTGACTACACCCGCTGAGCGGCCGCTCTGAAAACGTACCGACAATATAAAGGCATAATATAAAAGTCAATGGCGTTATGGAAGGAGGCAGCCTGCTGAATTTGCTGAGATCAATATCACACAGGCTGCACTCTGTGGATCTGATCTGTCTTTACTCTCTGTGGTAGCAGAGGTGAGGGAGTGGCCGCAAAACTCCGCAGATACACACTCTTTTAATTGAAGTACAGGGTTTTAGTGTTTGCTCATGAGCTCAAATGGGTGGCTGCTTAAAGTAGACATCAATATTGATTTATGTGGTTAACACAATTAATAAAACCAACACTTGCCAGGCTTAACCACAGGCTTTACAGCTTGTCAACATGGTGTTAATTACAGCAGTGATTTATGACTAAACTTGGCCCGGAGAGTCTTTTCTAGAACTCGGTGCTGGGAAATTAACACAACACAAAGTAAGACAGAGAAACAAGGTGGCTGTGGCTGTGGGAAGACATTTTGGACACAGGAAGACTCTACATCTCAGATTTATACATTTAAAACCAACAGTATAAATAAAACCAAATGAAAACATGTGATCAAAATAGCTAAAATGTGCCAAGGTCAGTATATTAGCATTTATTTACTTTGCTATTCAGGCGTCGTAGTAGCAGCTAAAGCTGGTCACCAAATTTTGTAGCACTGTGCTACTGTTTTTTTAAATATTTTAATATATAGTAAATAGTAAATATAGTAATATAAAATAACAAAACCTTAGCTTTGAATTAGGTTAAGGAAAGCATGGCAGAACCTGGGCAAAAATATATGTATAATATGTTTTACTAATAAAGACATGCTCTTCCAAATTGAGTAGTATAGCCGAAAATATATGTATAATATTTTTTACTAATAAAGGCATGCTCTTCCAAATTGAGTAGTATAGCTCAGCAAAAAGGAAATGCTGAAATTAGCAATGATAGCTTAAACGTAGCAGAGAAATTAGCTTTCAGTTAGCTTAGAAATAACCAAATTAGATAGAAGTAAAAGTTAAGTAGTGATAGATTATGTTCAGTAAACTAGTAATTTAAGTAGGAAAAAAAATTAAAAAAAGAATACTAAAGTGAGTCCAGATATGAATTAGCATTCATTAGCATGAACAGCAAAACGTACACAAAAGAAAATCAAAACTTACATAAAGTTGATCAAAGACAGCTATATTTCAGGTTCAACTTAATTAGAATACATGATAATAAGTCAAAAACCAGTGTTAGTGAAACTAACTGCCATCACTGGCCACAAAAACTGCAAATTAGCCAACGGATGTAGCATAGCTAAGGAAACAGATGTTCTGAAAAAAGGGCAACGTTAGCAAAATGATAGCTGTAAATCCGCCATAAAATCTACAGAGATGGACAACATTTGACATTTGATCACTAGGTGACATTAATGTTGGCATATTTATTTCAATATTTAGAGAATAAAAAAATTAAATCCACAGGTTCTAGCAGTGACTACATGTACAGTTTTAACAGTGTCACCACTGCTGCTCTGTGAAGTCACACACGGGCACAAATCTGGACAAATACATTAAACGCAAAATAAACTAATGAGGTAAGTGACAAAAACACAGGTCCGACCCGTCATAAAAGTGTGTTTCCATCCAGGGTCACCAGGGGGAAACGCCCCACACTGCAGCACAACTGTATTTGGGAGAAAATTAAAAACACATGGACATGGAAACTTTTACCTATTTTATTGAATGGGGGATCTTTAGGGGGGTTGGGGGGGGGGGGGGAACAGGGAGTGATACGGATGTTTGACAGGAGGAAACACCCAGACAGGGAATGAGGGGGAGTATTTATGCAGCACGCTGCAGCATAAAGATCCTGTTCAGCCTGGTGTTTCGTCACCTCGCTGTGCACCACACACACAAACACACACACATATACACACACATATACACACACGTGACATGTTTCAAATAGAAACATTCTCAACTTGTAGAAAGTCACACATATGGACTAGAGGCGACAAAAGTTTGCACAAGCCGATATGTTCCGATGGACCACGGGGTTAGCTGACAAACAGACGCTGAAGTACAGAAACGTGAATTCATGTTTTCACACCAGTAGTGACTGACTACAGAACCTCTCCTCTAATATTCAGTTCATTTGTTATAAATCTAGACTAGACAGACAGATTTCACAAGTTCATAGAAGCCTTCAAAAACAACATTATTTTTTAAAAATTAAACTAACTATTCATGATCCAAGGAGGTCAAACTTTAGTGGCACGTGTTGTTTAGGTTACTTGGCTTTGAGTGGATGATGAGGATACACAAAGAAAGAAAATTATTTTGCTCTTTTTAAGCGTTTCATTTTTCTTTTTAAAGTCAGACTTGATCAACTCTTTGTCCTAAAACTGTGGTTTTGAGACTTTTCTCAACTGTACTCAAGTAGATTTTTTTTTTCTGAATCACCCCAGTACCATTGGAAGGAGCCTAAGTACCACAAATGGTACGAGTACCATATTTTGGGTACCACGGTCTTATGACTCGTTGCACCATCAGTGTTCCTACATCACAGCGCCCCGTAGTGGTCAAAGTAAGAGCTTGGAAACTTATCAATACATGTGAAAATGATGTCTTCCTTATTCAGGGTGCGTAAGTTCCCAGGAAAATGGCATGTGATGAGGTTAAAGGTTACGAGCTAGGTGCTAACTGCAGCCCCGGTTACCAACATCAAAGCTTGGCAGCGTTTCTTCATATTTATATACTGATCGGCCAACTTTGACGACGTGTTCCTGATCAGTTGGTCTCATTTTGAAACCCTGCAGTTTCACTCACTGGAGGGTGAAGGTCCATTTTCTGCTTCGCCTGTTGTTGCACCGATTTCCACTGGCTGCTCTGAAGCTGCAGCCTCTCCTTCTGGTCTTCTCCTGGTCACATGATCAAGGACTTTCCCACTGGTTGCTGAGAGTTCATCACTATTGTTATTTATCGGTTCCTGTGTCTGAGAAGGTCCAGAAGAACTCGAAGGTGTTTTCTTCAGTCCATGAGGGGGATTTAAAGTCCATGAGTCCTGGTCGAAGTCAGGGAGTGGATGGACATTAAGAGGAGGGGGTGCGGCCTGATTTAACCCACTGGGCTCATTGACAACACTGACTTCTGAGCTCCAGTGGTTGGAGCAGAGCACAGCTGGAATACTGAGAGGAGAAACAAAATCATCACCAGCCGCCACTGCCAGTGTTTCAGTGAGTTTTAAAAACATTTCCCAAGAGCTGCGGTTTCTTTACGAGACCATACGTCGTAAGTCTTTGCCTTCAAAAGCATATTTACGGTTATATATCCCCCAGGACAGGAGGAAATGGTGGCTGACGATACGCTGCGGTGACCCCTGAAGGGCTAGAGTTGCAACAGTGGTTGACATATTTAGTTCAAATGAAACCGAGGCATTTTACACCATACAATTAGCCGCTTCATCAAAGCTCTCTACGCTGGGAACCTTTCTCTGACACTTCTTTCATGTCTCACCTGGTTATTTCTGTCTATCATTTCTGCTTCTGCTGCGTGCCGCTCTGAAATTATTACCTCGGCTTCATACGTGCTGTCACTCAGCACTAGCTGGGTGACAGCTCCTAGACGCAGGGTTCTCAAACTCATTTTCACCAGAGGGCCACATCAGCAGCACAGTTCCCCTTAAAGGAGAGTGTATGAAAGAGTTTTTCTGCAATGAATGATTATTTATTCACATTACAATTTTTGTAGATTGCTGTGTGTACCCAAAGAAATTATCAAGTTAAGAAACTTTATCATAAGGCAATAAACACTTTTTAAGCCACTTTTTGGGCCACACCAAAAGATTTAGCGGGCTGCATTTGGCCCGCGGGCCTTGAGTTTGACACATATGGTCTAAAGATTGAAATAACAGTATACTCAAAAGCACTGTTCATAATCAAAAAACCTGAGATGTCCCACAGAGAAACAGAAACATTCAGGAATAGAACCTGAGGTAGCAAATATTAGAGATAAAAACTAACAAAGTTTTGATGCTGCCCCACAAAATCACTGTTCTGTACAAATGTATTTTAAAGGACAAAGATGCTGCCCCACAAAAGCACTGTTCTGTACAAATGTATTTTAAAGGTATAACAGACAACTACAGACCTGGACAGTTGTTTCTGCAGCTGCCCGGCCGCCTGGTTGCACTGGTCAAAGAAAGAAGCCTGGGCCTCGACAAAGTCATTCAGGCTCCGCATGTGGTTGGTCTAAAAAAAACAGAATAAAAAAATTCAGCGAGAGTGTTTTAACGGGCTATAGAATAAAATGTTAGGCATCATATTTTATTTTGACAGATCATTAATAGTTTTTATTAAGGAAGTGTCTTTTGAGTTTTGTTCTTCCTCCTGTGTTTGAGCGCACGTACGTGGGCGAGGTCGACTCCCTCCAGAGTTCGCTGTGTGATTTCTAACTGTCGATCAAACAGACACTGACAGATACTCAGCTCCATCTCTGCCTACACAGAGAAAGTGACACACACACAAACACACACACACAAAATCAACATTAGCTATTACGAGGCCATTTTATTGAAACCCCTTATCTTTGATGTTTAACTATTTTGAGTTTTATTTATTGTTATTGACTAAATAACCTTACTGATACTTTTTAAAATACATATATTTACGACATAGTAAATACAAGGGTTTGAATTTAGGTTGATTAAAATAATACAGTTGGAAATTATTGTTTTTTTACATTAGCAAATCTAGACTGCATTGAAAGTTGAAATAAAATATTGTTTTACTATGTTTTACAACTGCCTTTCTAACATTTGGATATTGTTTTACAACTGCCTTTCTAACATTTGTCTTGGATGAGACGTAATCAGATCTTGGATCAGATGCCTTTTTATTGCAGGACGAGACATAATCAGATCTTGGATCAGATGAACTCACCTGAGAGATTTGCTGAGCCCACATCTGTATGAAAGACAAAGACACAGGAGTAAAAACTCGGAGACTAAAGCTGCATCTGTCCAATATTTCCCTTAGTACAACCACTGACCTTTAACCACCTGACACGTAGGAAACTGAACATGTAGGAGACATGAGACATGTAGTCAATGTCCACTGGGTTGGCATTTAAGTTCTATAGCAAAGAAGGAAGATAATGGTGAGACAGAACTGACTTCTGTCGTCCTAGTAACGTATTGATTTAAATGCTATATTTTGTTGTAGGTCAAGACAAAACCACAGTGACTCACTCTGTCTTCTGTCTCGGCCTCGTGAGCTTTTCTCAGCCTGGATTTGGCGATGTCTAAGTCCAAACGCTTGTTCAGCAACATCCTGCTCTCATCCTGTTACAAAAACACACCATGAAACCGATTCCAGAAAGATCCAGAGACCTGACGCTGCTCACTCGGAGACGTTAGTGTGAGTAACAGTGTGTAGTACTTGTATGTTTCGGTACTCTCCCTCAGTGAAACTCCGCAGAGGTCTGAGGAAGTGGATGTTGGTGCTTTGGACGAACTTTCTCTCGGCATCGCTGAGCTGCCTCTGAACTTCACCACAGCTGAGCAGAGCACTTCCTACACAAACAAACAAACAAACAAACAAGCACCACACACACGGACTTCACCCTCGAACGTACAAAATGAAACCGCAAAGGTAAAAAAGACTTTTGTCAAAGTCATGGCCTGCAGGCCCAATGTGGCCCATCACACAACTTTATATAGTTTAGAAAAAAACTCTGAAGATATCTGACCCACCGTATGGCGTATTGGACCCAATTTCTAGTCCGGCCTGGGTCATTTCATTTCCTAGAAGCTCGAGGACACGAGGTCGTGGTGGGACAGTCCATTCAAGATGCTCGTACAGTCGGTCCTCCAATCGTGCTCCTGCCCGGGAGGAGGAAGAAAAGGACATATTTAAGTTTTTTGTTGTTTTAAGGTTGTTCACAAATAAAAACGACATTTGGAGATTTCTCTGCAAGAACCTGAAAAAAGTTATACAATCAGAAAATGTTTGTGGTGTATAAAATATTGGACATGAATCTTTTTAATTCAACAGTGACCATCTGCTGTAACATTTTGATCCAAGTCCTACATCAACTCTTAGCCTTTTGGCTAAGGTTTTCACAGTGTAGCGGTTATCACAACTGCCTTACACACACACTGCTGTTAACACATCAATCTCCCAGTGTGGGGTCAATAAAGCTATATTAACCAGAGAGCAACAATTATACTTACATTTTGGACAATGGCTTTAACACAATAGAGACAAATCCTTTCATAAACAACTTCTAACATAATTAGAAACTATATTTCCATTACGTCTGATTTCAAGCTCCATTAACAGGAAACATATTGGTTGAGAAAAAACACAATTATAAAACCTTAATGATAAGAAACACATTTTGAAACATTTCTAGACCCAATGACTCAGCAACTGTTCAGGAAAGATGATGAAGAAATGGATCACAGACATCAAATAACCATTAGCTTTCAGCCATCAGTTGACGGTAATTAGCTTATCAATGTTGACATTCAGACTGCAGTAAACAACATGATGAGGTGATTTCATTTGGTGGTAAGTAGCTCCCATTTGTGGTGATTGTAAGGAGAGACAATGTAACATTGTTTTCCAGATTCTCCCTGGACTAAAATAGCCGATTTAAACAACAATATGACTCATGTGTGTTTGTACCGCTGAGGAACAGTTAGGTGGGAAAGA